TTATATGTATATATGTATATACGAATGTATTTATTTATGCAATTTTTTATGTATGTATGTACGTATGAATGAATGTATGTATGTATGTATGTATGTATATATTTATGTATGTATGCATGTATGCATGTATTGATTTATGTATGTATGCATGTATGTACGTATGTATGCATATATGTATGTATGTATGCATACAAGCATACATGCATACATGCGTGTATGTAAGTATATATGTATGTATGTATGAATACATGCATATATGTGTATATAGATATATATGTGTGTGTGTATGTATGTATGTGTATGTATACACCGTATGTATGTATGTATTTATTTATGGAATCATGTATTTATGTATGTACGTATGTATGTATGAAAGAATCTATGCATATATTCATGTACGTATGTGTTGATGTATGAATATATGTAAGTATGTATATATAGATTTATATATATATATATATGTATGTATGTATGTATATATATATAAATAGGTATAGATATAGATATATATTATATATATGCATATATATTTATTACTTACAAGGGTATCGCAGTGTGTTTACGCTGGTATGAATGATTTGGTGTTTTATGCGTGTTTATTATTTACAAGGGTATCGCAGTGTGTATATGCTGGTGTGAACGATTTGGTGTTTTATGCGTGTTTATTATTTACAAGAGTATCGCTGTCTGTATACGCTGGTATGAAAGTTTTGGTGTGTTATGTGTGTTTATTATTTACAAGAGTAGCGCAGTGTGTATATGCTGGTATGAACGATTTGGTGTATTATGCGTGTTTATTATTTACAAGAATATCGCTCGCAAATATTTAATGTACACTTTTCGTTAATGGATGCACAGCAAATCGTTTCATGAATCTACGCCAATTAGTTGCTTCTTTTTCTATTCTTCCTATAGTGCGGAATGACAGCGGCATTTGGCTCCTTTCTACCTGCGCCATTCGTGTCTGTCGCCTTGGTATCGGAGATTGGGAAACCGTGTGCTGAGTGGGACATAACGTACATGCGCATGTTCACTTTTTTCACCTTGGCCGCATGTTCCGCATATTTAGTTTATAGTAACACATTGGACTTCACCCCTCTGAGTCAAACATCGGGTCTAGATGTGCTGCCGCAGTATGATCGTATGCCAAGTAACAACCTCTACGATGACCAATGGTATCAAATCTTCGTAGGTATGCTATTCGGTCTACTGGGCTCAGCAATGGCTCTACTCTTTCTGATAGTATCGATGATCGTCAAGGTTAGCGTTTCAGCGCTCAGAGACTTCTTGAGTAGCAAAATAGGGTTCAACAAGGCATTTGTGATTACCGCTGTATGTGGGGGTCTTTTCTATGGCACATGTGGGTATCTGATGCCCCTCACGATCGGTGACGGTATTGAGCAGCTACACATCGTGGTCACTCACGGCGACGAAATTGGAAGTGCTGTGTGCATGGAGACTGGCTTTGTGGGTGGCTTATTCCTACCCATCGTGGCCATAGGAGTGTACATGGCACGCGTTGTTGTGAACACAACGGGTGTGGACTTCACGCTGGCAATATTTTGTGGATTTGCAATGCTACCTGCTGCGCTGGTGCCCATCCCTATCACGATGGTTGTATTTGTAGCTAGCACATTTGCGTTAGGTGCTGGGGCCACATCCCCTCTACTTTCATGCGTCATCACTTCGTATGTGATGATGATGGGTATTGGAATACCACAGTTCCTAGCGCGTAAGGGTTATGAGAGGCGTATAGCTAGCATCTCTCGCGGAAATGGGTGACCATCCGAAGCCTGACTCTATGGTTTGTCTTGATTGGTCCACCCATCAATGTGAAATCGAGTTACAAAGGACGAACCAAATATAATCCCGTACCGATGAGTATGGTGCGCATTCGTGTAATTTACTTTTATGTATCTGATATCTGAGGAGCGCGAACTTAAGGACATCTGTCGCACTACGATGCAGAGAACTGTGCTTGTCCTAAAATGTGCGGCTCATTCATTATATGGATGGGAGTGGAGTGATCGTAGACATGGCTCTAGTCCCTGCTCTAAAAACGCAATCGCATAGTTTACATTTTAGTAAAACAGAGGGGCTAATACAAATTTTACATGTCCGACTGTATAGGTCAGAGAATATCACTATCTGCTTGTGAGCTAACGCAGCCACACTCTGACTATATAAATTGGTGAAAAACACAAAGCGAGCTATGAATACATTCCCTGGCGAAAGGAATGTGGTGGTTACGTTACGACTAGAGAATCATGTTCAAGCATAACCCCAAGACATCAAAGAGTGGTATATTTATGAACAACTCATTCAATAACTTAAATTCATATATCATATTTTATATATCATTTAGGTCATACTTTGACCTTGAATAACTAATTTATACTCACATCATGAGTCTATTCGAATCATGTCGATCCCCTTATGCATCAACGTCGCCAACTGATAACCTCATGTCTTTGAAATACGCATACATGTCGTTGTCCGGTGCATAAGATCCACCGTTTCCGCCAAAGAACGTGGAGAAGTACAGCCCCCCTAAAGATAAATCATATGTTGATCTGTAGTAGACGCTACTGATTTCATGGACAACCTTGCCGTTCAAAGACAAGCGGTAGAGACCATCCTTTTCACCGGGTGTGTTCATTCGGATATACTGCTTGATGCTGTTCCATGAGCCCTTTCTGAATTTGAAGTCATTCTTGCCCCGTTGGTAGCTGCAGTGATCCGTACTCCCTGTACACTCAGACATCTCTGGCCAGGTACACTTGCTGCAAAGACTATCCTTCTGCATGCCAAAAGGTAGATAGAAGTATGTTTCGCCTTTTCCTCCCTCACGCCACATCAGGCGGGCACTAAAGCAGTTGTCCCCATTAGCCTTTCGGTTCGCTGAACATGTTTTGGAATCACCCCCATAAAGTCCTGGAAGTTTGCCACCTTTAACCCAATCAAAATTGGATGGGAAGTATACCTTGTACTCGAGTGTACCCTCACCATTCATTTCCTTCTCTGTGAATTCATCCCGTAACTGGGTAGTGTAGAACTGCATTCCAGAGTCGCTGGCTGAAAGGCCTGCCTCGTACTTCACCCTCATGACCTTGTCTGAATCAGATCCATCGGGATCGGCCTGGATCGATGCCATCGGCGTCTTTTCACGCAAGCTGCACGGGTTCACACCATAGCAACCTGAGTAACTGATGTCGTACATCTTCATTACATTCGGGGATTGCCCAACGTCGTACTCATTCACGCGCCCAGACGAGGTTAGAATTACTCTGGCTGTTATGCGACGCTCACGACTACTGGCTGCTGCGGCCGAAACCAGCACTGTGCTGGTATGGAGTGCTAGAAAGAATGATAAAATGAAAGTCTTCATGATCGGCTAAAGCAACTGAAGTGTGTTATACTTTGTAAATAAATTTGATTTTCTACTGTGCAATTGGTTTGTATTTATACGACCTTTGATATATAGGTGCACGACTACAAATTGCTCGCTATAAGTCGCTATTCGGTAGGCGTCTTTTTTTTAATGATTGTCCTGTATCACAAAAACAATCAGAACCATCACAACGCTACCCGCAAGATTACTATCAGATTGCTAAATACTTGGTACTTGTAATAAAACGCATTCCTAATAGTGATTGAATCTCTCCTTGCTTCGGACATTTTAAATGAAATACAATGTTGAAGTGGTACAGTATAAAGTATAGACATCAAGGTCAAGCATTGATAAAAATTAATGTCGTACATGCCTAAATATGATCAAAGCAATCCTTTCACTTTGTGTGATAACCAAAATGTCCAGTCTGATGCAATTTGCAGATTGACGGTTTGAGAATTGACACAATTGAGAACGAGCGTAACAATTTGCGAGCATTCTGCGTCACACGATAATTTATTTCATTGGGGCTCCTCAACCTTTTTTTCTATAAACTAAATATGTGTATGTATGTACTCTGATACTATTCTAAAATATTCAAGTACCATTCGACAAGAAGCCGGATGGCCCTCTGGAGTCTGCTGGAGTAAGGAGTCTGGATTCTGAAGTCTAAATTGGTCTCCGTGAAATATTCTGTCTCGGAGCATAGCCATCTTAATTATTTACAAGCTCGGACTCGGAGAGACAGAGATTGTCAGGCTGTCACTCTGCTGGGGAGAGGGGTGGAGATTTGAGAAGGCTATTTTTCGAGAGACTTTAATAACAATCTCTAAAAGTTCAACACATGAGCACGAAGCCTCGTGCTCAGTGCTGAACTTGACTGCTGGAGTACTGATGACTAAGGAGTCTGTCACTGTCACTGTTGCTGAGAAACAGACTGCTCGAAGCCTTCTTGTTGTTGAAGTTGAATCGCTGACGCGACCCCTGTCGAGTGTCGGCTCAGGCTGTTGAAGTGTCGCCTGTACTCTGTCGAAATTTGTTTGTTTTGTTTTGTTTTTTTTAATTCATTTAGTACATGTGATCACTAATCAGAAAACATCGTGTACGGCCTGTATTTACGACACACTCTCTCTGGCTGGGCCGTGGAGTCTGGTCCTCAACTTGCTCTGGACATTGGAGTTTGGACTGCACGAGAATCGAGAGCCCCCACACCACTCCCTACTAATCTCCAAAGTCCATTGCTGGGGAGTTTGCACCTCTGGACTCTGGACTCTAGACTTTGGACTTTGGACTTTTGTTTTTTTTTGTTTTTTAATTTTCGATTTGTTTTTTTTGGGATAGAACAAAAAAAAAAGAGTACAATGGCTACGCTTGAAGTTTCATTTTTTGGAGGGGGTTTTTATGGTTTTCGAGATTAGAGTGTAAAGTTTTAAATTAGCACTAAAAACTCTTTGTCAGAAGAACTGAACTTTATTTCTAAAAAGAGCTCCTTTTTTTTAAAAGTATTTATTCATGTTTTGGCCAATATTGTAAATATTTTTATGTCTTCCGACCTACGTGAACGTCCTACGGTCTACGGATTTTAGGCGGTCCGTTGCGGTGTACAGTCTATTTTTGATTTTCCTACGGCCCTCTGGATAGGGTCTCGAGCGGAAATCAAGGTTTCTCTCTACAACAATCGAAAATTTAGCAGAGACCTAAATCCAGGGGGCCGTGATTTTCCTTATACATATTTACATAGTAGAGAGAGGGTCATCTATTTTTTTTATAACTGTGTGTTTTTTTTTAAAGCAAATATTTCGTTGTGTCTTAACAAGATAATCAGTTTTCGTGTCAAACTGTATCTTTTAGTAGAAAAACTATGAATGAAATTCTAATCTCAGTTTGTATTCCAAAAAAAAAGTGCAAACAGGAGTAGACACTCGACTAAGGTGAATCTCAACTCTCGAGTGCAAGACAATCGTGATTTTGCACTGCGGAAATTACTTTTTAACGGTAAAAGTAATAATATTATTCTGTATTTATTTTGTTTTTCTGTTTGTTTTAAACAAAATTGTACAGTACATAACTACATTTTTCAACAACATGTATTGTTTTTTTATATATGTTTCAATTATTTTTTAAAAATAAACTAATAATGAAGGCTAAATATGTGTGTGCACTGTGCAGTTCTTTATTATTTATTTATTTTAGTTTGTTTTTTTTTCAATCAAAAACATTTTGCTTTGTCACTCTCACAATGTTCTGCAACAATGTGAGTCTGTGACTGAGACTCTTTAAGGTACTGAGTCACTGAACTTGTGAAGTGTGGACTGTGGAGTGTGAACTGTGAACTGTGAACTGTGAAGTGACTGTGAACTGACTGAACTCTCTCACAGTCTCACTGTACTCTCTCTACTCAATCCCTAGTAAATAGTACTTTTTTTTTAAATTGAAAACTGAAATGCCATGCCAACCGAGTTGAACCGACTCAGCGAGTGAAATATGAAAGCCGACTATGTCTAGTACACACACCAAATTCTACAGTCTGTACTCTATACTCTGTAGTTCTGTACATAATCCATATTACATACTCTGTATTAAATCTGTATCAATAGATAGTATTTGAAAAAGCATTGTTTACGAGCTACGACTTACGAGTCTACGACTACGAGTCTACGATGTACGACTTCGACATACGAGTATGATACGACTTACTGGTCTACTAGACTCTAGCGTACGATTTGTAATAAAAAGATATTTCAACATTGTTGATTTGTGAAATATTGTTCATCAATTATCAGTGTATCACACAGACACACACATGTGTGTGTGTTTGAGAGTGATCGGGACACTCGTCCGGGGACAGGGAGTTCAATTCGAGTGCTTTCTTTTTTTTAGTAGATGGTTGCTATGTGTATATCGAGCGAGTAAAAAGTAATAACACAAATGAGATGAATTTCCTGCAGACAAATGTCTACTCTCCAATGAGTTCACTCTTTGAATTTTTGAAAAAGTGTCCACTATTGGCCTTCCAACTATTTTCTTATCTACCAGATGAGCAAATATTTTCATTTTATCAGACAAAATTCAAAATCTCAAAATTGAAATCACCATAGGCAACTAGAGCCTATGCCGGCCTATAGCCTATAAATAGTCTGAACGGGCTCCGAGCAGGCTCCTTTTTTTTTAAAGCTACAAATGAGGCCTTCGGCTAACTTCCTAACGTCATCATGTATATAAAAGTCGACTTTTCAACGTCAACGGATTCTTTTTTTTTAAGTGTTGCAACGTAATTTGGTATATTTTGACCTGTCCATTGTGGCCTGAATATTACACCTATAAATGAAATTTTAGTCTTAATTTTGATACCAAACTATGTCATCAGGACAAAATTCCGGCGTGTACATGCCTATCGCCTGACCTGGAATATGGCCTACTACTATAAAAGGGACACTGAAATGGAAGTCTACGCGTTATTTTAAACGTTCAACGGATTATTTATTTGCGTTACAACTTGTAGCGATATGAGGAGGCCTTCAGGCCTCTTATTCTTGTCTGTCCCAAATCCTATGCTGAGAGTTTCAATCTCTGTCCACTGACTCTTTTCTCTCTTTCTCTCTCTAGAGAATCACATTCTCTCTCTAGTCTTTACTCTCTACTACTACAACTATCTCTCTCTAGAGTAGAGTAGTAGTAGTAGTAGTAGAGAGAATGTGTATAGAAATAGACGCTTAAAGTAGGGTGCCTGCAGCCCGAAGCCCTACCAGACCCTGGCCTAGCCCTTGGGTCCTGGAGATCTGGACTCCTGTCTCCTAAGTCCTGGTCTCCTAGCCCTGAGACCTAAGGCATGTGCCTGGCTCTTTGAAGCCTGAACTAGTAACTACAATTTATTATTTATATTAAAAAATACAATAGTACTCATCAAATTAATTAGTCATCAGTCATCAGTCATCAGATTTCATCACTCATCAGGGCTTGGCATAAATAAAAGCCCCTTTCCATCACCCATCGCCCATCAGCCTTCAGCCGATCGGCCTATTACATCGGTATTTTATTTATTGTTCTCCGCCATTCAGCCATTCAGCCCTTATCTGGCCTCGAGGCTCAAGCCTCAAAGTCCTTTTTGTTTTGTAATTTTTTTAAAGAGCAAGTTTGGTTCATTTTTAGGCCTTTTTTAAAAATAGCACACAGTGGCACACTCCAGGACTCAGGAGTCAAGAGGTCCAGCTGTACACTGTCCTCAGACCTCAGAGGCGCAGTACCGCAGTCCTCACTCCTCAGTCTTATGATTGCGACAATATCACTAAGTCCCTATAGACTCCCGTCTGCAGAGTCGTAGAGTAGGGACCTAGAGTCCCAGACTAAGTCCCGGATTCCTCCCAGAGTCCCGTTAATCGGCCTGTCCCCACTCCCCAGACTACACAATCACTGACCACACGCAATGGGTCTGTAGACTGTGGCTGTGTACCACCGCTTTCCGGTGAGTTCATAACAGTCCATCGCACATACGCACACTCTCGCACGACTCGCGGTGATTTTTTTTTTTAGTTTTTCTGATTTTTTTTCCTAAAGAGCCTGCTATTTGGCCGCTCTGGCGCTGTGCAGTCTGCACTGTCTGCAGTGGAGTCTGGACTCTAGAGTTTGGACTCTAGGGAATGGGGAGTCTAGGCTCTGGCTCTGGGGAGTGGGGACTGGGGAGTCTGAACTCTGGAGTCTGGACTCTGGACTCTGGACAAGCTAAAATATGTGGTGATTATTATTTTAGTTGCTAAAGAGAGAGCACATCCTACATAGACTCTGTCTCTAAGTAGTGAGTACAAACTACAGAGAGTAGTGGACTAGTGGCAGACTGAGCGAGACTGAGCGAGACTGGCACTCTGGCAACTATTTAGCAGTCCCACTCCATATTTATTAGTCCATGTGCGAGTCGAGGACTCAAGGAGGGTTCACGGTACATAGCGCCAACAACCAATTACCACCAGGTACCAGCAGTAGAATCTTTAGGATACCATTTGCTTCTTTTTTTTTAAATTAAAACCCACCTCCAACCTCATCTTTCCTGAAGCCTGAAGGCCCAGCGCTGTCCCCACTCCCCTGTGCTGTCCCCACTCCCCTGTGCTGTCCCCACTCCCCTGTGCTGTCCCCACTCCCCTTTGCAGCCGTGGCCGCGACTGGCAGTGCAGGAGCTGCAGGACTGCAGGTCTGCAGGCGTGCAGGGGACTGAGTGCAGTCACTACAGTATGCACTCCAATTTGATTTGTTCTATATTTAGATTAAATACAGATAATCTCCCTCTCTCTCTTTTT